AAAAAATATGGATCTCTTCCAATCAGTTGGCCACGTACGTAGTTGTCTTCCAAATTTTTTTACATAGATGAGTGAGTGCTTCCAGGTCTTCAACAGTTTGTTGAAAGATTTCCATTTGTATTCCATCAATTACTGAGTCTTGTTCTTTTCCAATGCCTTCAATGCACTTTGGACTTCTTTCTTCAGTACCATTGGCTCTTGATTATATTCTACATCTTGAAATGGTGGAACATCAACAACTTATTTTGGCACAGTGACTCTGTGTATTCCTTTCATCTACTCTGATGCTTTCAATATTAGGCCCATAGAATCCTTCAATATTGCAAGTTGAAGCTTGAATTATTTCTTCAGTTCCTTCAGCTTGAGAAATGTTGAGTGTGTTCTTACCTTTTAGAAACTAGGCACCAAAATGATATCACTTACATTTAATTCTGGATTTTTATTCCCTTTATTGTTGAAAGTGACCTCAGTGAGTTCAGAAAAAACCTTGGAATAGTTCTATGGTATGGGCAATGCCATAAGGAGCAGACACTGTCTAGCTCAAAGGAACCAGAATAACAAAGACAGTGGTTGAGGGGGACAAGCTACATAGGAGAACCAGAGATGGAATGCAGCTGTGATGTTCCAGAGCCTTCTTGAGAACCAACTATTTAAAATGTCAGTAATTTAACACAGATATTATTAATAATTAAATAACTGAAACTCACACCACTTAATAATTTTGTTAAAAACAGGTAATAACTAAAAATTCTTGTTAATTTTCTTCCCTGTACTTTCATCTCTGCTGTTGACTTATAATTGTCACCTGGGTCAGCATTTGTAGGACCACTTCCCAACTCCAAGTTCAATGGTGTCGTGCAGTAGCTTGAAATGAGTCATGATGGTTAAATATTGACCAGCAAACCACTGGACCGTTACTGCCCTTCCTCAGTAGCCAGTAGGCATTGTTGTAAAAACATTATTTATATCTGGACATTTAAAACTCAAGCAATCGGTGAACTGGGTTAATATGAACATGATTTCCTACAAGCAACACTGATATGTCCACCTTTGCTTGCAAGTCATTTCCAGCTCAACAGCCTCCCAGGTCCTGCGTTTGTGAGACCTCCTGCTATGACTAACCTTCCGGGACCCAGGTCTGATCTTTATTTAAGAAATGTTTTTATTCCCTCATCTTTCCTCATCAAAACTTCCATAGCCTTGATTCCTCACTCCCTCATTGGTTAAGTGCTGGACTGTTAATTGAGGAGCTGATGGTATGTCCCCACAACGCACTTCACAGGAGAAAGACGTGACAATCTGGTTTCATAAAGATTGACAGCATTGGGGACCCTGTGGGCACTTCTACTCTGTCTTTTCGGGTTGTTATAAGCCAGAATCAAGTCCCTGGCAGTGGGTCATC